GGGGGGGGGTGCAGGAGACGGTGACAAACGCGGATAGGCAGAGATCGATAGTTGGTCAAGGTGACAGACATAAAAGCAAAAGCGGACAAGTAGATGGACGAATAAGCTGACTCACGGATAGACAGACAAATAGACGGGCACACATTTATATAAATAAATGAATAACGAAATGGCGGACCAGTAGAATGATGTACAGACAGACAGATTAAAATTGAATAAAAATAGTTGTGCATATTGTCAAATTGGTCGAGCAAACACTCTGAAGAGCAGATGCGAAGCTTTAGACGCAGACGAAAATGGAAGCTAGTGATTCATCCTATTAAATCTATTTCCAATCTGCAATGACACGAAGATTTGGGTCGGGTTTGGCACCTTTACCCAGTAATGAAAAGAAAAGGGTTGGCACGCTCCTCACACGTTGTGTGTCTATGAGGGTTGCTAAACGACCAGTTGTGCCTGCTGCTTTAAAGGACTTGATTTTGTTGCAAGCTTGAGAAAATAATATACGTTTTTCACCATAATCTGAACTCCAAATAGTAAGTTGATTGTTAGACGAACATGTGGTTCTATTCGTTTTTGTCATCAGTTTTCACGATGTCTCTTGGTTTAAGTCTAATCTTCGGCACTTATATGACCTTATTGCGTTGCAAGTGCCTTAAAACTCTTACTAAAACTAAAAGACCGTCGTGGGAAAACCATCCTGTATTGAACGTTTACCATGGCTGTGGGCGATTTTCTTTTTTCATTTGGGAGAAAATAGAATACATATTGGAAACGTGGGTGACCTTCAGGTGACATTGTTTATGACGTTTTTGCCAATCGATAAGTTGAGAAATTTGAATTGGGGACGTTGACGTTTACCTCGGAATGTTACTGGTGGTATAGGTGTCAAATTGGATTTTGTTTGAGCGGAACCCATTTCACGTATGAAGGGTCAAATTAAGTATGAAGTACTGTCTGTCTACCTGTCACCCGCGCGCACGCACACGCACACACACACACACACACACACAC